CCCCAAAACCCCAAAACCCCAATAAGAATAATTAAGATCATATAAAATAATTGATGAAAATGATAATAATTTAAAAAGAGAAAACATTCATTGCTTATTAGAAAATTTTCAAGTATGCGAAATAGTCAGAATACACTGTCCACCTATAACTCTAATGGCCCAACCTACAGGGACACATAAGATATTGCAGATACTAATTCAGCATTAGTAGATAAGCCAGTAAAATAATGGATAGTATAGAGTAATGATTTAGACAAATAGTTGATAAGAAAAAGTCAAGATAAGAAAGTAAAATAATATAATGACAAAAAATCTTTCTCAGGTATGAGAGAAACTTAAAATTTCAATGCTAATAGCACAAAGGCTAAGAAAAATTAGATATTAAACTTTGAGGATTAGATGCCCTAAAATGAAGAAATTGATTTTGAAAATGTTATGGATAATATTTTAGAGGAATTTGAAGGTCTTCCAGTAACAGGTTGACCATTAATGTAAGATCTAAGCAACCCAGCAAAAATTGAAAATAATGGCAAAAAAGTACCAAGTCCAAAATTTTCAAGTAAATTTCATACATTGGTAGAAGGTTCAAGTCCAAGAGCTAGGAGTGAGTAAGAAAATTTTTAATTCAACAAGGAGCCTTAGAGGAGACTACCTAGTATCATGCTTGACGGATAATTATACAAAAATGGAAATAACCCAACAATATCAGAGAAGATAAATGAACAGTCATCCATTACATATTCAAAAGTCAGCAATCTGTACTCAAATAATGAGAAACCCAGACAGTTTGGTACATTTGGGTCGAATGGCCTAACGAATCTCAGTCATCAAAAATCATAATTAGATAATGAAGAAAATTTTTCATGAGATGAGAAAGCTCAAATCGATATAATAAGAAGACCAAATCCAAGAGATGTTTAAAAACTTATGACTATAAAGGATCCAGCTGAAGAAGAAGATGCAGAATTTAGAGAAGACGGAGTAATAACGCTTTTTTCACTTTGTAAGCAATGTCTCACTTGTTAAATCTGTAGAAGTAAAAAAAATGTAAGGACTCTTGAATTTGAAAAATTACAAATCAATCTTGAAAATAGTTTAGAGTATACATCTGGCGAAGATGAAATGGAAGAAGGAATAGATTTTAAATCAATGAAAAAGTTTCGATAATTGCGAAGGGCTAAGCATCTATGGCATAGGGCAATAAAAAAAGCAATTGGAGCTGTAAAAATAATTTATACATTCAGAGAACTAAATATGGATCTTTATCTATATGGCTCTAATAAGAAACATGAATTCAGCTTTAAAGAGAGAAAGCCCTATCCATTTATTGTGATGCCAAATACTAAAATTTCGAACGTTTGGAATATTGTAATGATGTTCCTAATGCTATATACTGCAACATATATTCCTTATAAAACTTCCTTCATTGACGAAACATCTACACTTGTCAATAACATAGAACTTGCAATAGATTCATTATTTATGTGGGATTTGATTATGAACTTTATTAGTGCTTATGAAGATTCAGACAAGAATATAGAATTCAGATTTAACATCATTGCGTTCTAGTATATAAGAACATGGTTTTTCATTGATATAATATCCTGCATCCCTTTTCAATACATAGATTTTAGTTCTGAAGGAAATGAAGATAATCTTGATTCTTTTGAAGAAATTACAGTTACTTCAAAACTTTCATCTAGATTCCTTATTAGTTTAAATGATCAAATACTTAGATGATATTTGTAATCAAGCAGTTCATCATCTTAAGCTACCTAAAATAAAGCTAAATTGTTAAGATTGACTAGACTTCCAAGACTTTACAAATTACTAAGAATCCTAAGATTAATGAAGATGTTCAGATTGTTGAAGTACAATAGGAATGTAAAGAAAATGATGGAGAAACTTAGAATAAATCCTGGGTATCTAAAACTTATTAAAGTGTCTGCTACTGTTTTGCTGCTAGTTCATTTAGTATCTTGCTTCTATTTTATGGTTGCTAAATTTTAAGACTTTGATCCAAATTGCTGGGTAGTATATCATAATTTAATTGACAAAGAAGCCTTTGAGTAATACATTACTGCTATGTATTGGGCATTTTAAACCTTAACAACTGTTGGTTACGGAGATGTTACTGGCAATACTAGTGGGGAAAGAATATTTGCATTTGTATGGATGGTATTTGGAGTTGCTTTTTATTCCTTCACTATTGGAAATCTTTAATCAATCATAAGTACGATTGATATCAAGGCAGTAAATCTTTAACAAAAGTTAAGAGTACTTAATAACTTCGCCAAAAGAACAAAGCTGCCAGAAGAGTTAACTTTAAAAATTAAAAGATTTGTTGAAAACAACAATGAAAATGACATATCAATACATGAGTACAAATACTTATTGGGCTAATTACCATAATCTCTAAGAGCTGATGTAATTTAATAATCTTTTGGAAATATCATTAGGAAGATAGTATTTTTACAAGACAAAAATTCTGATTTTCTATGGTTCTTTCTTCCAGCACTGAGACCTATGAAAGTATACTCAAAAGATATTTTGTATAATCAAGGAGATCATCCAGAGGAAGTATTTTTTATTTAGCAAGGTAGGGTAAAATTGTGCTATAATGTTTCAGAAGATGATGATTTTCCCTTTAATATTCCTTTTAATATGTATGTTTAAGGTTCTTACTTTGGTGATCTTGAGATACTTGTGAGAATTTATAGAGAAATAGGTAGAGATAGCACCGCTATCGTTGATAGTGAGTGTCATTTATTTGTAATAGGCTCAAAAGAATTAAGATAGATACTTAAAATGTTTCAAGATATTGCAATATAAATGAAAAAGACTGCGAAAAAGAGGGGACTTCATCACCAAGAGATGATTAAGATGGCGAAACTTAAGGCGAATGAGAAAAAATATATTGCCAAAAGAGCGAAGGCTGAAAAATTATTTATGCAAGCTAATGCTATTCTAAATAAATTAAAGCCATTAAGAAAGAAAACAAAAGGCTAAGAAATATTATAAAGAGCTAAAGCAAGTAAAAAGTAACTGCAAAGGATCCATAGAACTCAAATGTAATAGATGGAATCAGAAGAATCATAGATGTCTATAATTAAAGAAGAATCAAGAAATGAATCATCACTTTATTCTAATGAAACAGACCTATAAAAAAAGATTGAAGAGGAGGCTAGATTAGCTTAAGAAGAAGAAATAAGGAGAAGAGAGCTTGAATTAAAGAAAAGGAGGTTAACTTATCTAAGACAACAAAGTAATACATTACCTACAGTTAAACAATCTGATCTATCAGAAGCAGCCGCAAAAGGTGATGGCGGACTATTCATCTAAATACCTAAAAGAAGATTTTCAAAGATGACTACCTCCGCAGGTTTAAGACCTGTAAGAAAATCTTTAATTGAAGAGGAAGAGGAAATTAAAATTAATGATGCTGATTCTGATGAAAAACCATCTGTATCTGAGCCTTCATAATCTTCATCAAGCTAATATTCTTCTTCCTCAAAATCATCCACTAAAGATAAGACAGGGAAAACAAGATAAAGTGATAAAACACCAACCTAATTTGGGTCGACTAAATAGTTCCTTGAAGATAAGCTAATTAAAATATAACTTGGAGTCAATTGTTCAGGATCATAAGGCTAAACTCCAATCAGTACTACGAGAGCAAACGTGAACGGCCGATCTGGCAAAAATGGAGGGAGAAAATAGTATTAAGCTCCTTAAGTATAGCATATAAGTCTTATTAGTGAAAAAGCAAATCCTGTTAAGTAGGATTAGGATAAATATGATAATAAAAATTCGATGAGATTATTCTAGGATACTGCAAGTTATCTAGCTCTAAATGCTTTTGAAATGGATAACATAAATTTAAATATTGTGAAAGACTTTATCTATAGAGATGAAGTTGTTGAATTAATGTCGAAGCAAGAAGACTAAATATGCAATAGTCTTGATAAAATGGAGAATCTTCTAGATAAAATTATGCAATCAATTTGATTTATTCATTATACCGATGATTATTAAATGCAAAATTTACTTTATTATACTTTATGGGGTTTTGGGGTTTTGGGG